GAGGGTGCACGTGGGGGGCTGCAAGGTTTTGGGGGTGCAGAGCGGGTGCAGAGCTTGATGTGCACGTGGGAGGGGGCTGCAGGGGTGGGTGCAAACTGGGGGTGCAATGGGGTGCTATAGAACGGGGAGCGCGAGGTGCAATGGGGTGCAATGGGGTGCAACTGGGGGTGCACGTGGGGGGCTGCAAGGTTTTGGGGGGCTGTATGAGGGTGCAGAGCTTGATGTGCACGAGGGAGGGGGCTGCGGGGGTGGGTGCAAGCTGGGGTGCAGAACTGGGGTGCACGTGGGGTGTAAAGGGAGCGCTGCGGGTGCGTGGGGCAGCTGCGGGTGCGTTTGGGTGTTTGGGGGTGTTTTGGGGTGCAGCGGGATTTGGGGGGGTGCTGCCGTCTCAGTCCCGCTCCCGGGTCCTCCCGGTCTCCTTCCAGCCCTGTGCTGCGGCGCTGCAACGGGAGCCGGTAGGTGGGGGGTCCCCAGGGTGCCCCGGGGTGTCCCTCGGTGTCTCCTGGGGCTAAACTGGACGAGTGGGGGCCAAGCTGGGTGGACAGGGCTCAAACTGGGACTAAACTGGGCCAACTGGGCCTGTGTGGGACAACCTGGGGCGGAGCTGAGCGTGCGGAGGTGGCCAAGGTCTCCCAATGGGCACCCAGTCTTGGACACCCAAGCAGGGTCTCCCAATGGGCACCCAAGTAGGGTCTCCCAATGGGCACCCAATCTTGGGCACCCAAGCAGGGTCTCCCAATGGACACCCAAGTAGAGTCTCCCAATGGGCACCCAGTCTTGGGCACCCAAGTAGGGTCTCCCAATGGGCACCCAAGGAGAGTCTCCCAATGGGCACCCAGTCTTGGGCACCCAAGCAGGGTCTCCCAATGGACAGGGACGTGTGCCAAGGTCTGATAGAGCAGACTAAGTCTAGGGCACCCAAGTAGGGTCTCCCAATGGGCACCCAAGGAGGGTCTCCCAAGGGGCACCCAGTCTTGGGCACCCAAGGAGGGTCTCCCAATGGGCACCCAAGGAGGGTCTCCCAATGGACAGGGACGTGTGCCAAGGTCTGATAGAGCAGATTAGGTCTAGGGCACCCAAGGAGGGTCTCCCAATGGGCACCCCGTCTCGGGCACCCAAGCAGGGTCTCCCCGTGGGCAGGGCCGTGCGCCAAGGCCCGGTAGAGCACGCCCACGGCCTGACCACGTCCCCGTGCCCCGTCCCCACCGCAGAGGCCCCGGCGCGGCTGTGGGGCGGCCGCTCGCCCTGCCGCGGCCGCGTGGAGCTCCTCGTGGGCGGGCGCTGGCGCAGCGTGTGCGGGCGCGGGTGGGAC